AACACAGTTTATAAAAGTCCTGGACAAGGGGGGGCGTGTCTTAGCGGCGGACGAGGACGGACGCGTGAGTGCTGAGCTCCTCTGCTGTATGGTGTTCGCAGCATAGTCACGGCGTACACCCGACCGCAAAAAACAACAGAACGGCGGGTAAACACCTGCCGCATACCACGGATACAAATGGCGACGAAATCGTGCAAGAAGTTGAAGCAGAAAACGCTTCAAATGCACCTCACCTCGGCCACCATGCTGGATATGGCGGGACAAGATGGCGCCGACGGCCCGAGCTCACCAACCTCCGTTTCGGAAGTAAGTGATCCTGCTCACAGCATGGCTGACTACTCTGCCCCAGTTACAACTGCCACTCTCAAATCCTTACTTGCAGACCTCAAATCCACATTCCACACAGACCTCATGCAAATAGCATCAGACATCAGGTCAGACATCCAACAAGTGGGAGACAGGACTGCAAAGTTAGAAGAAAGGGCAGATGAAATAACAGACGCCCATAACTCTCTGGCAGACGCTTATACTGAACTACAAGACAAACTTAAAAAGCTAGAAGACAAAGTGGCCGACCATGAAGATAGAGATCGGCGTAATAACATCAGACTGAGGGGGATCCCAGAATCAGTAACAATCCTACGTACAAGGCATCTTTAAAGAATATGTGCCAGAATTAACGGATGGAGAGCTCTTACTCGATCGGACCCACAGGTTGCCCAAACCAAAACATCTGGGCCCACAAACCCCCAGAGATGTAATCACGAAGTTACATTACTTTACTACTAAAGAAAGAGTTATGCATGCAGCGCGACGAAACCCTCCCCCACCGGGGCGATTCAATCAAATTAAGCTATTTATTGATCTATCTGCATCGACGATGATGAAAAGGAAAGCCTTTGCCCCCATCACTGCAGCACTACGAGAGGCAAATATTCAGTACAAGTGGGGCTTCCCAACCAGACTCTTAATCAAACGCAATGGGACAGATTCCAGTATTGCTTCTCCCGAAGAAGGAAGGAAAATATTGCGGGCCTGGGACATTCCTCTCACTACCACGACGGCTCCCGCACCACAACACACCAAATCACCAGTGAAATTAAATAAAGTTTGGACTCAAGTGCCACGCGGCCGACCACAAGAACCTACATGACCTCTACAAAGGGACGATAAGTATACTCATTTGATGTGCCTAACCTATGTCACACTGCTATACTACTGTTGATAGAAAAAAAAAAAGAAAAGAAAAACAATTATAACAAAAAAAAAAATGAAAAAAAAAGAGAGAATCAATAGAGAACAACACTGCCTGTATATACCTAAACCGTGTATGCCTTGGCAAGGTCTCAGCAATTGTAACACCGTACGGAGCACTACGTCTAGTACGGATCTCTTATGTGCGTAGACCCACCAATCTGTTGCTGGTCACCTGCCCCCCAAAGTGGCTTAATTTTGAGCCGCATCATTAACCGTTTTCCACCTTTTGGTCGAATTCGTTTGACCGACGGTTTTATGTACATAGTTTGCATGTTTTTTCTTATGTTTTTACCCTCTTTTTTGTGTTTGTGTTCTGATAACCATGATTTTAGTGTACAGACTTGGCTTATTCTCAAGACCCTAGGGATACCAGTATCACCCCTCCACTTTATCCACCCATGGGACCTAAATACCAGGCCACTACATATACCTTATCTACCAGGTATAAATTGGGATGACCGACATATATGCTGGACCTTTGGTCGCCGGGCAACGCCCACAGATGGGTGGGAGATTCACCGACTCGCGAAGGGAGGGCTAGATGGTCCCAATCCCACTTGTAACATGAGACTGCTGAACATACACCATGGTGCTTAATATCTGTTCCCTGAATGCCAAGGGGCTCAATTCTCCGCACAAGAGGCGACTAGCGCTAAAGGAGGTTAAATCCCTAGATGCCCATGTGGCATTCTTTCAAGAAACACATTTTAAATGGGGCCAACGTCCAAAATTTACTTCCATAGCATACCCCATAGACTACCATGCTTGCTATGCAAAAAAGAAAAGAGGAGTGTCCATCTTAATAAGCAAAGATGTGGCTTTCTCCCTAGTTCGTAAACTTGGAGACAAAAAAGGCAGATATATAGTGTTACAATGCTATGTTAACAACAACCCATATACGTTTATAAATGTGTATAGCCCTAATGATCAGCAAATTGATTTCTTGGAACTGGTTTTGTTGCTTTGTACCAAACACGCCTTTGGAGAGGTGATAGTGGGGGGGGACACAAATTTTTTGTTAGATGATTGTCTAGACTCCTCACACCAGAAACCCCTACAGTCCCAGACCATCAAAGCCAGGAGGAAACTAATTACTCGCATTAGGCACACCCTTACAGCGCACAATTACGTAGATCCATGGCGCATACAACACCCTAGCGAAAGGGACTTTACTTGCCACTCAGCAGCGCACAATTGCTATTCCAGGATAGACCGATTTTTGGTTCCCTTAAGGATGCTCCCCAAAATAGAAAGTACCCACATAGGACTCATTAGCTGGTCGGATCACGCACCGGTTACTATGTCCCTGACAGAAAGATTCCAAACTAAAGGCCGAGGCAGCTGGCGCTTAAATGATTGGCTATTGAAAGACCCGAGTGTAATAGACCAGGTTAAACAAGATCTACAGCATTACTTCCAAGACAATACAGAACAAAATTCCACCCCGGATCAAATCTGGTTAGCACACAAAGCAGTTATTAGAGGGTGCTTCATTAAACACGCTAGCTACGCCAAAAAGAAACGCCTCGAGAACTACACTAACATCCTGAAGGAACTTGCTGAGGCCACACACTCAAATAAACTAACTCCAACCCCCACTCACCATGCCACTATCTTACGACTGCAGAACCAATTGCGCGACTTGGAACTGTCCAAGTCAACGACACTGCTAAAACGCATGAAATATAACTTCTTTGCGTCAGGTAACAGAGCAGGAGCCAAATTGGTTTCCCAGCTAAAAACACGTCTCACAGCTACTAAAATCTCACACCTCCTGGACGCTAAAGGAGGGAAAATACTAGACCCGCAACACATAGCAGACACGTTCGCTACCTACTACAGCAAATTATACAATCTCAACACAGATCCACAAGTGCCCACTCCCTCCACCACAGAAATAAACAGGTTCCTATCAGACCTTATGCTCCCGTCTCTGAGCGAGGACGACGCGGATTCACTCCTCACCCCTCTTACCATAGAGGAGATATCTGCCACAATTGCATCCCTCCCGACACAGAAAGCGCCCGGACCAGATGGTCTGTCTAACGCCTACTACCGCATGTACCAAACAACACTAGCCCCCCATTTACTGAACCTTTTCAATCACAGCATACAAAAAGGGACGTTACCGGACGAATTATTGTTAGCCCATATCTCGACGTTGCCCAAACCAGGGAAACCACCGACAGAGTGCAAAAACTTTAGACCCATCTCCCTTCTCAACTGTGACGCAAAGATATATGCCAAAATTCTCAGTAACAGACTGGCCAAATTCCTGCCCAAACTCATACACAATGACCAAACCGGTTTTATCAAAGGCAGGCAGGGTTCAGGCAACTCCAGGAAGGTATTGAATCTCTTAGCAGAACTAGAAAGAACCAAAGGCCAAGGCCTCTTCTTGGCACTGGACGCAGAGAAGGCCTTTGATAGGCTCAACTGGACCTATATGCAGAAGGTTCTCCACAAATTTGGCTTTCCTCCTCTTATCATATCCCAAATCATGGCACTATACACCACCCCAGCTGCCAAGGTGTCCTGTGGCGGTTTCCTCTCCTCGAAGTTCCACATAACGAATGGAACTAGACTCTCTCTCCTGTTGTATATCCTCTCCTTAGAACCCCTGGCCCAAAAGATTAGGGATCACGAACATATGCGAGGTATAACCGTTAAAGGAAAAGAATACCGTCTTTCTCTTTTTGCGGACGATGTTATAATATCCCTCTCAAACCCAAGACGGGCGCTACCTCACATTCTCGATCTGCTGACACAATTTGGAAACGTCTCCCATTACAAATTAAACCGAGACAAAACACAGGCGCTACCTGTTAACACACCCCAAGACGACTTAGTCACCTTAAAATCCTCTTATCAATTCGACTGGAGAGTTAGCACCTTAACGTACCTGGGGGTTAAAATATCTCCTACAATAGCAGGAATTGTAAAACACAATTACACGCCTCTATTTCAGCTATGCACGAAGGAGTTGGCGGGTTGGAAAACGACCCACCTATCCTGGCTAGGTAAGATTAACACGTTTAAGATGATGACGCTCCCAAAACTCCTCTATGTGTTTCGCATGCTCCCTCTCCCGATACCCGCTGCACTATTTAAGGTACTACAAAGCGAGGTTGCCACTTAAGCTACTACAAAACACACCTGACAGAGGGGGAGTGGGCCTCCCTAACATCCACCTCTACTTCAAAGCAGCTGCCCTGGCAACATGTATAGCGGCACACTCACCCCAAGGCCATACACAATGGGTGGATATGGAGAGGGACCAATTTCAAGACAAGTCCATGACGGACTACCTGTGGACCCCAAAACGCCTTCGGTACAGACACACACCTCTTTTCCCTACCACTAGGCTGACCATACTGATGTGGGATTCCTTTATGGCCCAAATAGGCTACAGTCATAAACTGCACCCCAAGCCCCCCTAACGGCACTAAAAACCATAACCCAATCACTTTCTCTTTCCCACTGGACACGCATGGGTTTAGACA